GAGACACACGCACACACACACACACAAAAGCACGCTTCGCCGCAAAAGCACTACCTCTGGCCGATGGAGATGCTCGCCCTCTTCCCCATGTTCTGGCTCCTGTCCGAGATGGTGGAGAGGGTGGGCTGCCGGCAGTATGTCTGGGTTCCCGTTTCTTCGTGCCCTCGCGTGAGGACTCGAGTTCTCGTTTTTTTTTTTTTTATAAATTTCCTGCTGCTGAATTCCCGCCAGTGTGTTCCCTTTTTTGGTCACTGCTGGCGGGGATTCAAATGGGCGGGCTGCTTGTTTTCACATGTGCCGCCCACCCATTACACTTCCCACCAGCAGCTGCACCGCCCTTTCCAGAGACCCGGTAGCGCCACCCAAGACTTTTTAGGGCCCAGAGGCCCTCGCTAGCCGAGCCTGTCCCGGGCCTGAGCACTGTAGATTTTGGTACGGTTGCATGGGTCCTGAAGACCATCTCACGCAAGTGTGTACATGTCACACATTAGACAAAGATAGATGAGAAGAGAACCGAGTTGCACAACTTATATTATCAAAAATATGATTACTAAGAGTTTCATAGTTCCCCAAGTCCAGCGCTCATCAACACAATGCAGATCCTGCATTGACTCATCAAGGCGACTTCAATACATCAGCGCTGCTTCTGCAGATTGTACCCTGGTCATCAATGTGGTCACCACTCATCAGCGCCACCTCTGCAGTTCAAATCCAACTCAGGTAAGTATCCTTCATAGCCAAACCTTGATTGAACACTCTCTGTCTCAGTCTCTTTCTCCTACGATGCATACACACYCTTCACTCACAAGGATCTACTCTGAATACTACTCATAGCTATCTACTACTAACCCTCTAAGTCTATACTAACTGGCTGGGCAGCTATGGCTGCATCCCTTCCAGCGCACAGTCTTCYTCCTCCTTCCTAGCGCATCTTCATCCTCCAGCGCTGCTCCTACTGACTGGCGCACAAGTGCTTCAGCACTTCCACRCRCAGAATGCCAGTGGAGATCTGGCGAGGAATGAGGCTGGCTGCTTCCTTTATMGTGCTGGCCTCTCCTCGCTGGGTCTGCATTTGGCTGYTTCRGGCCTCCTTCTGTCCCAGACCCTGCATTGTATGTGTCCCAGTACAGTCCCAATGAAGTCAACTGCTGCTGAGGCCTCTCGGCCTGGATTTGGACTTTGGATGTCTGGATCTGGACTGTCCTGTAGACTTCGACCAGAACTGGGACTCTATTTATTGATTTTACTTTCGAACAGGCACAACTTGGACGAACAGACACACTTTTGCCTGAACAGACACTTACACAGTGCGATTAGACACTCTCCTTTGCACGAACAGGCACACTGACTGCACGTACAGACACACCCTTATCTGAACAGACATGACATGTGCATTTCCTGGCGAACAGGTAAGTCCTTTGGCAATGACCTTTACTTTAGTTTAGGATGTGCCCAGTTTATAGAGAACTTGACCCTTGATCTGCTTTCACGTTTCTGGGTCCTGGCGAGATACCCTTTCATGCTGCTTTACTTTTACGAGGCCTGCATTGGGTAAAGGTCCTTTTACGGTACTTGTCGACAAAAAAAATGAACAGTACAGGGGGTGATGGACTGGTGGTTTAACATATTTTTTCCCCTCTTCCTTCTTTCGTGGACATGACACCCTTGCCGTAATGCCCTCACTGAGGGCATACTCACACATCGACTTTGGGCTCTACCAGGTATCACGTCCAAAGGGGTGTTTGTTATGATCCTGGCCAATTTCGAGATACACATTGATCAGACAGTACAATGCCGTCCGCTTGCAAAAAGAAATGAGTGAACTTGAGAGGAGAGAGAGGGGTAGAAGAAGAAGTAAAAAGAAAGAAGAAGATAGTACAATGTCGTCCACCAGCATAGACCAATGAGAATGCTCTTCTTCTTCGCCAATCACTCTCCTCCTCCTTATCTTCTCCTCTCTTATTCACACAAGAAATAATAATACAATCATATTACAATGTTGAATGGCTGAACCAGAACCAAAGTCTGAATCCCTCTTCTACTGCAGGTATCACTTGAACCGACTACCTGTCTATTAGCAGTCTTAGGGTCAGTCCGTAGTTCTAGCTCTACGACCTTCGAAAGGTCAGTCAGTCGTAGTCTAGGCAGTCCTGGAAGAGTCAACTTGACCTTTCGAAGTGCCAGGAGGCAGCCCATCGGCCTCCCAAAGGTCAAGAGTCCCAAGTCAAACACCAAAAGGGTAAACGAAGGGGCAGTCCCAGTCCAGTCCGGTTTTGCAGCAAGTACCAGAGTGGGACTGCACATCTTGAGGGCCTGGGACATCGGCAGGCCCAGACCACCGAACGAAACAGTATAAATAAAGAGCCAGTGATCAGTCAGTCACTTATTATCTGGGGAACTACGTGGAAGCGCTGCCCGAGTGCCTTGTGCGTTGAAGTTCACCAGTGTTCAGCAAGAAGCCCGAAGGTGGAAGAGGGCGAGCGGCCATAGCCGCTAGAGAGGAGGCAGATGACAGCAGCCATAGCCGCCAGTGTAGCAGATAGGATATGTGTGTGAGTGTCTGCGCAGACATTCGGGGTAGATCCTAGTGCATGTGTACGTGTGCGAGTGAGTGTGAGTGTGGCTGATGGTGGATACAGTGTACAGGTGGGAATTCTGACTGGCCCTCAGAAGCCATAGCTGCAAGATGTGACAAGTTGACTTGAGTCGAGTTCCTGGCTGAAAGCCACATATCTGAGTTTTCTGTGTGGGCTTACTGCGCCATCTCACTCTTGTCGCTGATCTCGGACATCGGCACCTGCATGTATGCATTTAGAACTGTGTTTAGTTGGGGTTTCTTTTGGGCAACAGCTCCTGTTTTACTATGCCTCGCACGTACAAGGCTGCCCATGTTGATTGTGGTTAAGCAGCAGCTGATCACATCCCTGTGTACCTTAGCGGTCAAGGGAAGGCATGCTCCTGTGCAATTCACTTCAGATCTTTGTACTCCTGTTCACTTCACTTCAGATCTTCATATCGTACGTTCTCTTAACGACGCTCTTTCGTATGTATTTGCTAGTAGCACAAAAGGGGAGGGTGGAGGGAAACGGATAGAAGGCAGAGTTCTACAGGAGCATGGGGTGGGGGAAGGTGGACTGCAAAGGGCAGAAGGGAAATATGTGAAGGGCAGGATAGAGTAGGACATGCAAAGGGCAGGGGAGAGGTGTATGACGAACTTTGCGGAATTCTAAATACTCACCACTGGAACAGACTACTCTAGAATGCATATGAGGCCAGTTAGTGTTTGGGTTGCATAAGACTTTGAGTTGAGAAGCAGCTATTGCCTATGGTAAGTCGCCACCCCTACAGACCGGACAGGAACAATTCGGGTGTGGACAGTGGGAGCACCACATCCAATTTTTGCAGTCACAGTTGCTGCATCGAATGGCGCAGCACAGACAGATGTCACAGGCTACGTGGCTCCTAAATTCTACGAGCACGGAGGCATGTCGACCGCAGTTATAGAGGCATTGCCGTTCCAGCTCCTGTCTACAAATTGGACATGACGTGTCAGGGTGCCGTATGTGTGTGTGGGAGAGAGAGAGAGGGGTGACAACAGGGGAAGTAGGGCAGAATGTAGCCCTGCCCTTTGGGATACTGGAGAGAGAGAGAGAGAGAGAGAGAGACGTACCGCGGGAGAGGGACATGTATGTCTTTAGCACGCTTGCCTTTGTGAGGGAGAGAGAGAGAAGGGGGAGGGGGAAGGGAGCACTGCACTGTCAATGAAGTGACATTGACACATGCGACTGCATTCCATTTTCATGTTATGTCTTGCAGGTAATCCTCCAAGAGACTTCGGAACGGTGAGTGTTGCGGCCACACTAAGACACTACTCTGGATGCATGATTGAATTTTCCATAGTGGACGGCAAATGCCAACAGAATGGATGTCAAATACTCCGTTCATAACTTTATACAACAATGGCGCTCTTATGATTGAATGCAACTTCATATAACAATGGCGCTCTTATCATTGAAACTTCATATAACAATTGCGCTCTTATAATTGAATGAGATGTCCCCACTAAACTGAGGAAGGAAGTTCCATATTTACTTGCTTTTATCGTTGACCGCAGAAAAAGAGAAAACAAAGTGGAAAGAATTCCTCTATGCAAAGAATTGCGTATTTTCTGACATCTGAAAAAGAATACTTCTTAGTACTTACACACCAAGAGAGAGATGTGCCGACAAGATAATAGATGTGAAAGTATTACAGACAGAACAGGCCAGTTGCTAATGAACTGCACTCGTTTGCAAAAATTCCATGCTTTTTGCGGGTGCAGCCGCGACAGGTCAGAAATATTACATTACATTTCTTGGTCATGTCGGTGATCTTTGGGCTTCGCATTGCCTCAGATCATCAACAGGCATGCATCACAAGGCAGAGATAATGAACATTCCAAATTTCATGCTTTAACAGATTGCAGGCACAAAAACACATGATCAAAGCACACATTTGCCTCAGATCATCAACAGGCATGGATCACACGGCAGAGATAATGAACATTCCAAATTTCATGCTTTAACAGATTACAGGCACAAAAACACATGATCAAAGCACACAGATCTGTGAACCATCATCCAACTTTTAAACGATCAAACTCACCAGTTGGTCTGCCAGCATCAAAACTGTCTTTAAAGAAAACTTGCGACTGCAGAAATTGAATAGGTCTTCCAGACTTGGCCCTAAGAGGTCAAGCACGAGCACATTGTAATCACCTTCCACACCAAACCACCGAATACTGGGGATCCCAGCTGCACAGAGAAGGAAAGACACATGTGATGTGGTTAAATCATCATGCCTATAGTCACGTTCTGCAGATACAGTTTCAACTCTCAGGAACTATCCAGCACTCACAAGTATAGCCAGGCAGGTTCCAAAAGCTCTATTCTCTCCATCTTGCCAAGCATCACTCCCTTTCTCTGAGTAGGCTGGCATCCGCAGTTACTTGCCTTGCTCTCTCCAAGATTGAACTTGGCCAGCAACCTGCATCCCCGGGTCCTACTGTTGAGCTTGGTATGAGCAGCCCCTAATAGTAGACATGGGGAGGTCCCAGTATCTATTGGTGGGCGGCCGCACCTGCTGGAAACTGGATCCAGCGTCCCTTACATGATTGACTGCATAAACATCACATGATTGTCTGCATAAACATCACAGAGCCTCAGGCCCATTCATTAGGCTGAAATAACCTAAGGTAATCTACAGTCAATCTTTCCACACCATATGATTCCAGTGTTGCCCCCTCTTCAGCCTGTCCCATTGCAGACCTCCGGCATGCTTGTAAGAATTGTCCTTAGCTGCTGACCCTCTGAAGGACAATCAAAGCCTTAGTCCCTCCTGTACCACTGCTGGTCCATCACTGATCCTGCAAGAGGTGGGAATAAGTCTGGGATCTCCAAGGGCGGTCATAGTGGAAATGCTGAATCACTTTTGGTGTGGTCGTGGAAGTTCAACTCATAATCCCTCAAGACCAGGCTTTGCCCTCCTCTGTCCACCCCCTTGCTCACCCCCAGCCAGCCCTTTGGAAACCTTTTAATTTGGGAAAATTGCATCTGTACCCCACTTAAAGATGGGAATACTGATTATACCCAGTCCCAGTGCCAACTTGCGTCTAGACCCAGAAAACAGCTGGTGGAAATTGTTTGCATGCCCAGGACAGAGGTGGACCCAGGTTGGTATGGCAAAATTGCAGTTATAAGCAACTACTGGACAGGACCTGAGGAGGAGAGGCCAAATTGTTCATATACCCTGCTCCCGTATAGCTCAAATTATGCTCATAACCTAGGCTACCAGAGTGGCCCGGGGTCAGTTGCCCAGCCAGGCCGAAAAAATAAATAAATAAATAAAATGCGAGGCACAATGCCTCGGTAAGCCCTTGCGCAGCGCCAGTTGGCTGGAAGCACCCAGGCCCAGGCTGCCTCTTCTCTCATGTAACTGAGGCAGGACCTGGGCCGGATACACAACATTGACCTAACACAGGCTGAGGGCAGTTGGGCGCTTGTAACCACCACAGGCCTAGGGCCTGATCTGTCTAAACTGAGGCTCAGCCTCTCGGGGCATACCGGAAGCTTCTGGGCCAGCGCCCAGTACCGCATTACCGCACACAGCAGAAGGCCACTTCCATATAGGAAAGGGCCTGCCTCGACATCCGAAATTTCGGGCACTGGCTGCATGTTGCGCACACGCTGCTGCGCTAAACGCTGGCCAGGCTCACGCGCTCACGGGCGACAGGGAGAGGCAGGCAGCCATAGCCGAGCTGCGCTGCATAGCTGGAGGGGGCCCCTGGTGGTCCTTGGGTGCACGTGGCATCTTTGAGTGGGGGATCGAGGTTGTGAGTGATACAAGAGACATACCTGGTGCTTGAGGCGAACGGCATTGGCCGAGATCTGCTCGTACTTCGGGGATATGTTGACGTCACCAGCGGCATTGTAGATAGGCTAGATAGGATCTGCCATTTGTAGTCTGGGCGCAGAGCGCCAGATAGGATGTCGACATTGGTTCTTTCTTGATGATGATGAGACTATTCCAACATTGTCACTTATGTGCTTTTGCTGTGCTCTTATTTGGTGGGACTCGTGTTGCAATTCTGCTTTTGGTTCGAGGTCACGACTATCTGGTCTCACGTGAATGATGCTGCTTGGTTTCTCAAGTTTGCTATCGCTCATTTTCCTTGCAATTTGGTATCGGAGCTGTGGTACGGTGCGCTAATCTGGCGCTTGTCTTCTGTCTTTGCGGTACATGCATGTGGTCTGCTGGGTGAGCGGCTGTACGGAGTGTGTAGTGAGGAGGGTGAAGGCAAGTAGGGCGACCCAGGAGATTAGGGGTATCACCAGGAAGGCTACGTAGTGAATGTTGGGTGTTCGCAGTGTGATGAAAACTATCTGACGTGCGATTGTTACATGCCCAGATGGGCAATGTACATAATAACCAAGGATCCGCAATGTGATGAAAAGGACTGAATGGACAATGCGGTGCAAGTGAAATCTCAACGAGCAGTGTACATTCTGATACATACAAAATGGTGCTTTACASCGCAGTGGAAGACWWMGATAYAAGTCCTGACYTGACCGGGACTGACCTCTTTTACGTAGTACAAGATAGCGAAGCAGAAGGCTAGAATACTAATGACGACCCCAATCAATGTCGCAATGCAGACTAAACATACATCATTCTCATCACAAGGTGTGAAGAGGCCTGGCGCTATACACAGGAAGAGGCGCCAGGTCCAGCCATGGATCAGATGAAGAGGAGGGGAGAGATGGGAAAGTCGTCAACACCAAGTCTCGTTACAAGTCCCAAATAATCCCTCGTCAAAATGTCTGAAGTCCAATGTCGAGTCTGGATCCACATGTCACCAAGCTCTCTCTCTCTCTCATAGTCTGCTGATGCAGTGCAGTCAGATATCGAGAGGGTGAGAGGGAGATGGTGGACTGAGAAGAGGAAGAAGAAGAATTATCTCTCTCTCATATGCCAGGTACTAACCTGTGAAGGTGGCGCTGTGCTGCAGGTACCTTGAAGACGAAGCTGGAGCAATGGCGCTGCAGGTAAGTCCCTCTGGCCTCCGCCCAATCTCTCTCTCTATGCTACTACTCTAGCTATGGTGCCCAGCGCTGAAGACTACTGCTAACACTACAAAGCGCCCAGCGCTGAAGACTACTGCTAACGCCAATACTACTCCTGCAGCGCTCCTCCAGAGTGCTGATGCCGAGTCCCGAAGACTACCTCCTGCCTCCTGAACTGCATGTGAAGTGCCTGGGAAGTACCTATGAACTACCTACCAGCCTGCAGGGCGGGCCAGTCCTATATAGTGCTGGCCCGTCCAGGAGGCTGCTCTTGCCAATGCCTCAACGTGCCAGACCCTGGGGTTGAAGCTCAAACAAAGGTTGTCTTGAAATTAGGCCAGAAATGGTCTGAGCTAAAACCCTGGTCTGGTACCTGAGTTCCGAGACAGGCCGAACTCGTGAGGGCCCGGAAATGGCCCTCAGTTTCAGGCTGAAAACACTCAGGGGTTGAGCCCGAAACGACACAGGGTCGGGCCGGAAACGACACAGGGCTTGTAGGCCCTTGTTTTCAGGCTTTCAGGCTGAAACGACACAGGGCCTGTAAGCCCTTGTTTTCAGGCTTTTGGCCTGAAAACGTCACGGGCCTGAAAATGGCCCGTGAAGCCTGTTGCAGGCGCAGCATGTAACATCCCCCCCTCCTTATGAAGTCAAAGCCGGGGCGAGGGCGAAGCTGACGATCTGACGGTGGAACATGGATGCGGATGCCACGTGGAGCCGAAGATACCGGCTTGCCTTGCATCTTGCGTTCGTAGCGTGCGAGAACATCCAGAGCTGTTGCTTGGAGTTTGTATCTCGGCAATCCATAGCAACAAATTTTCATCTTTTTTGTTGCAAAACGTGAAAGGCATTTTTATTTTCACTTTCTCCTTCTTCTTGGGTTTTTCGGGCTCCGCGGTTTTCTTTCCCTTAGGAGAACTCGGAGGTGGAGAGTTAGGAGGAGAGGGAGGAGGGGAAGGAGGAGGAGTAGATGGCAGACTCGATTCCCCCCCGTTAGACGATTTCCCCCCTTCCGTCTTTCCAACAGACTTCATAGCATCACTCTTTAATTTCTTCTCTTTTTTTTCTCCCTTATCTTCTTTTACCTTAGTCTTTTCTTCTGTCACCGGAGTCTTCCCTTTCACAATGTTGGTAACAGTTCTCAATCCAACTGCAATCTCATCTAGCTGATTTTGCTGCCGTTCAATCTTCTCTTCAAGAAAAAAAAGGCAAGTCATAATGTGATAAAAAGCCTGTTTTAGGTCACCTTCTTCCTTTACATCTGTTCCAATTACCTGACTAATTTCTTTAGCCTTCTGTTCCCTTCTCTTTTCTTGTTCTCTTCTCCTGGCCAACTCTTCTTTCTTTCTTTCTTCAGCAGCCAAAGTCTCACGCAACTGCTGAATGTTGGCATCAATAGTGGCCTCCGTTACTTACGGTTTCACTTCACATTTCCTAGTCATTTCCATTACAGCTTCTAACTGTTTGATTGCGAACTGGTCAAGTGCCTGACGGCACTGGCCAATCATGTTCGTGACTTCAATTCCGGCCGCTGCAACTTCCGCGCCCGCAACTGCTTGATTCAGACGGTTCTCTACAGTCTGCAAATCAAACAGGCTGCGGACGTGTTGTTCAGCGTCCGGTCCAGACAAACGCAGATCATTTAACAGTTAAGCCCATAATGCTAACAGTTCCTGTTTTCTCTGCTCTGCCTGTCTCCGAGTCTTTGGGTCTGAAGTTCCTTCACCCAGAGCCATAGGAAGGAGAAACAGGAGTACTTTGAACCAGCCAAACATTCTGGAGGTCAATTTAGAAAAGATATTCACAATGGGAATTCAAAAAATAAAAGAAATAAAGAGAAACAGATTTTTCTTTCCTAACTGCTGTTCTTTTTTTGTCTGTGTGATGACGTCCTATTTTCAGGTTCTACACCAGGCCCGTGTGATCAGATCCAACACACCAGTAAGTACGCACACCACAAACAGCAAATCAACAGGTAAGTATGCCAACAGCAAACAGAAACAGTTCGTCAGCACACTTTACCACTTCAATCATCAAGTGAGTATACCAACAACACAATTCGTCAGCACACTATATCACTTTGTTGTGTCTTGAGTGTTAGTGCGATGATGCACTCTCCCGGACAGCTGGCACCACAGTTGTATTACTCCGTCAACCCTACTGCCGTAGTCCTCTGAGTGCCCTCCCTTACTTAG